CCTCATGCAAAACTCTCCAACTGTGTCCCACTCTTGCACTTCTTACGAATCACGCTTGCGAGTATACTCCGTGTGGCCTCTGCATGCCCGCTAATCAAGCAATTTGGCCAAATGGTGAATGCGAAGTTGCTGCTAGCGCACGAGTTTCTCCATGTTCACAAAGTGCGGCTTGTGGAGGCTTCCTCATTGATTCCAAAGTGCAATGCGAATTTTGTTCCTCTGTATAATAAAGCTTGTGAATAAATGTGAAACAAAGTGTATGTAGTCAAGGTATTTCTCAACTCTCACAGGACCGTAATGCTGCTTTAGTGGAACCCAATTGGGAGAATTCCTGCCAATTGCAGATCCAAGGGTTGATAAAGGGGGGGGGGAGGGAAAGGTGGGTTTATATCGGCGATCACTCCCTTCTCCTTTCGGAAACTAAAAGGCAATGATGTTGTGACACTTGTCACTCGTGGAAACGGGGTACGCGATACTTGACATGTCGCTAATGATTCAGCACATGTTACGTGTTGCGGTGAAGCCTGCATGGGACATTATTTTGTGTAAACAGCATAACTATTGTCCGCTTTCTGGCTTTCGGCCTTGCCTTATCATTTATGTTAGCGCTGAATTTTGTGGTTGCTCAATAATGAAAATGTGCACTGAAAAGTGGCAGACTTACTGCTGTAGTACTCCAAGCGATCCGAAATCTCCATTCTTTTTCTGCTTCAGACCTGCTCTAAAGCACTATTTTTGCAGCGCCGAAGCTGCTCTTGAATGCAGTTACTTCTGCTCTAAATAAGCTCTTTTCTGCTCTAACTCTTGCTCCAAATCAGAAACTGAATGTACCACCGCAGAGCGTAAAAAAAAACATTAGAGAGAACTCTGATGCTGCGATTGTTCATCCACCACGAGAATGATTGGTAGTACACAGATTTGCCTAGTCTTCGTGCTTGCGGGCTTTGAACTTGTAACTTTGTTTATTGCTGTCTTTTTTTTTTTTTCAAATGAAAAAATGTACCGTTGGGAGCTTCGTGAGCTGATTTGGATTAGCGAGCCTAAAAAGGTCACAATGGTTAAACGTAACTGCTAAACCTTTGCTGAAATCTGTCGTGCAGCAAAGCAGATTCAGGCCACACAGAGCCAAAGGGAGCTGAAGACAAGTCTTTTTAGTACCTATCATTCCCATGCTGGCTGAAATGCTGTGCTTTGTAGCTCCCATAGACGCCAGTTCCAGAGTTTCCTCTAGTGTATTTACTAGAAACTCTGTGTGGACCAACACTGCTCTCTCACTTCTTCGCTGTACTATACCTTATAAGACTGCGCTATGCTCTGCTTGCATGTCTGGACAGGGAAGTGATAATGATGCTCACCTTTGGATCGTGGGTTCGCAGCTTTGAATGTTGCCTGACCAAGAAATTTTTTTCTCTTTATCTCTCTCTCTGTACTCGTTATCTCGTCAATCAGGAGTTATTGCGTAGTATGCAGGACAAATCAGTGCACATGTTTTTGGCCGAAGGGAAATACGAGGAAGACAAAGAAAAGAATGATGAGAGCACATGCCTGTTCATGATGATGATAATTTTCTGTCTATGAAGCACTGCTAATCTCGTGTGGGGCAACTCTGCTGTAAAGGTATTCTAGGACCTCCTTAAGTAGCACTCTTGCCATATATATACTGGAAATTAAGGATCCTCGTTGCCACAATAGACATCCTCAACAACGTTGTGCCACAAAATGCCCAGAATTTCTGAGGCAATTTGATGAAGCTTTTAGGGGCGAAGCTCCTAAAGCCGTGGGTTTGTCCATGCATATCTGTGACCGGTTCGTAACACCCTAGTTGTATGTCTCACTCAGCAGGTGGCGCTAGTGTGAGTGACAAGAAAGTAATCACGGAGGATAATAAGACAGTGTGGACATACACGAATCTAATTAGGCTCTTTGAGCTAGAGCTTGCTAAGACGCGTGACAAATCACCCCGGAAAAGAAGACACAAACCCAAAAGTTGGTGGGACGAGGAAGTTAAGAGAGCCATAGCAAAACGTCAGGAAGCCTCTAGGGAACACAGACATGCTAAGCAGCGGGGTGAACCGACAGATGATGTTGAAAGAAAATGGGCAACCTTTCTAAGCTGTAGAAGGGATGCATCCCTTCTGATCAATGAAAAGATTAGAAGGAAGGGAGCTCAGTGGCTGGCAGAAGTACATAAAAAAGATAGAAAGGCAGCTGCGAAATTTTGGAACCATCTAAACTCCCTAAGAAATGAGACGAGCCTAGAGCAGAGTTTTATAACTACAGCCCAAGGTGCTAGGCTAGAAGGGGACGAAGCTATTGAATATATAAGAACAAGGGTGACAGAAAAATTTCAACAAAGAGGAACTTTATGCACCACAATAGACAAGGACGAATCAAGTAGTGCAATGGCTCCATTTTCACAACAAGAGTGGGAAAGGGCTGAGAAAAGGGTTCCTGGTGGTACATCAACAGGCCCAGATGGCATTCCAATTAGGCTGGTAAAGACATTAGGTCCGAAATCTAAGCAGGCTTTGAGAGAGGCAGTGAGCAAAATAATAATCGATGGGGAAGTTCCCAATGGATGGAAACTTAGCAGGATGAGCATGATCTATAAAGGAAAGGGGGACAAAGCTGACATAAACAACTACCGTCCTATAACAGTGACATCAGTGGTCTACAGGCTGGCGATGCAAATTATAAAGGAAAGACTGCAGGCGTGGATAGAGGATGAGGGGGTGCTGGGGGAACTGCAGAATGGGTTTCGGAAACACAGGAGGTTGGAAGACAATCTGTTCTCACTGACGCAGTGCATCGAAATAGCAGAAAAAGAACACAGGCCCCTGTGGCTAGCATTTTTGGACATCAAGGGAGCGTACGATAGCGTGGTTCAAGAGGAATTGTGGGGAATACTGGACACACTAGGCGTGGAACATGTAGTCACTAATCTTTTAAAGGGTATCTATAAAGGTAACAAGGTAGTTATAAAGTGGGAAAAACAGGTATCCAAGCCTGCAGAGGTAAAACGGGGGCTTAGGCAGGGGTGCCCCCTGTCACCCTTATTATTCATGATGTACCTACAAGGATTAGAGGCAAAATTAGAGGGAAGTGGACTGGGCTTCAACCTCTCTTTAGTCAAACAAGGAAAACTTATTGATCAGGCACTACCAGCATTAATGTACGCAGATGATATAGTGCTAATGGCCAACAACAAGGAAGATTTGCAGAGATTGATGGACATCTGCGGTAATGAGGGAGATAGGTTAGATTTTAGATTTAGTAAGGAAAAATCAGCAGTCATGATTTTCAATGACAACGAAGGTAGTGAGCTTAGAATACAGGAGGTCACGCTAGAGATAACAGATAAATACAAATATCTGGGCGTATGGATAAGCAATGGGACCGAGTATCTGAGGGAACACGAAATATACGTGACGACTAAAGGTAACAGGAATGCAGCAGTGATGAAAAATAGGGCACTGTGGAATTACAATAGGTATGATGTTGTGAGAGGAATATGGAAAGGGGTCATGGTTCCTGGACTGACGTTCGGCAATGCGGTCTTGTGCATGAGATCAGAAGTTCAAGCAAGATTAGAAATTAAGCAACGTGGAATAGGTAGGATTGCTTTAGGAGCTCACAGGAATACACCAAATCAGGGAGTACAAGGTGATATGGGATGGACATCATTTGAGGGCCGGGAAGCTAGCAGCAAGATAAAATTTGAGAAACGATTGAGAGAAATGGGGGAAGAGCGCTGGGCTAGGAAGGTTTTCAGCTACTTGTACATGAAGAATGTCGATACAAAATGGAGGAAGCGAACCAGGAAGTTGACTGGTAAATACTTAGAAAACAGCAGGTGGCCAAACCAAAAAGAACTATCGGTTAAGAAGAAAGTGAAGGAAACGGAGACTGACATGTGGAGAATGGGCATGATTAAGAAGTCCGCACTAGAGATCTATCGCACTTTTAAGCAGGAAATTGCCAAGGAAAGGATCTATGATAATACTCGGGGTAGTTCTCTACTGTTTGAGGCCAGGACGGGAGTACTGCGAACCAAGACATATCGGGCCAAATACGAATGGGTAGACACAGTATGCAGTGCGTGTGGAGAGGAAGAAGAAACTGCCGAACACTTGATAATGTTCTGTAAAGGGCTTCACCCTATAGTTCAGGATGATGGCGCAGAGTTTTTCAAAGCACTGGGGTTTAGGGACCGGGAGGGCAAAATAAATTTTAAGTGTGTAGACTTAACCAGAAGGAGGTTATCTGATTGGTGGCTAAAGTCAAGACACGAGTGAAAATTAAACTCTTCACTGCAAAGTACGAATCCTCAAACTCACTTTTTAAGGAAAAAAAATAAATATAGTTTTTGGTTCATTAGGTATTACGGCTCGGTGGCGCTAGCCACCGCCCGATCTAAAGGGTACAGCCATATCCATCCATCCATCCATCCAGTGGACAGACAGATGGACAGACAGACCGACAGACATGGACAGAGGAGGGATGGAAGGACAGACAGGCAGACAGACAGACAGATGGACGGACAGACAGACAGACGGACGGACGGACAAATGCATGCACGGACTGATGGGCGGACATACAGACAAACGGACAGACGAACGCACAAACGAATGCTTCGCCCCACTTATTATCATTCACTCTGTGGATATGCTGTGATTTTTTTGCTATAAATTTCAGCTGGGTATTGTTCATTTGTTTCGCATATTCATCTATTTATTCACAATTCCAGAAGTTAGCACTCAACATCAAAAGAGTTGACTGTTGGCTGAGTTGGTGTTTTGACATAGCGAGGACAGAGCGTTGTGCCTGTCCTAATCTGTCCTTATCTGTGTGTCATGTTTTATTGCGCTCTCACGATAGCATTAAATACTTGACAATTTTCGTGCTTATATTGTTCGATGTACCTTTGACATCTTAACTGTATTTTAAGCTTGGTAATTGTATGGGTCATATTTACTCATTGTCTGTTCCACTCTTGTCAGGTGGAGAACAACATGGTGTGGCATTTAAAAAGCCCACAATTCCTGTTACCCCGAAACTAGCTACACTGATGCGATCACGCTCTGCTTCCTTGAGAGATCAAAAGCGTAAAGCAGAAGAGTAAGTTATTTTTCCATTCTAAATTTCATTCTCTCTTCTTTCTTCTCCATGTTTGAAACAAACAAAAACAGAAAGTTGACCATTGACCTAGCTTTTTAAAGCACTGACAAGTAACAGATGCTTTTATTGTTCGGTGGTCATTGTCTATTGGTAATGAAAGTGAGAAATAAAGTTTTATTGATCTCATTTCAGGATGGTTGTTTCCAAGCACACTTAGCATTCTCTGAAAGCTGCACTTGTTGAGATAAACAAATGGGAGCTCAGATTAATTTTGGACATTTCTTGTTATTTGCTTGATTCCAAATTCAAGCATCTATCGGCGCTTGTAGTTGTGTAGCAGGAGCCAAGAAACATTCTTTAGTGCCACGACCTTGCCCTTTCTTGAAGTTGCACTGGCCACTGAAAGGGACTGTCGGTACCGGCAGTTATTGCTATAAACCGTGATTAATCATAGGCAGCTGAGATGTGTATGTAAAGTTCTTGTTAGCTTTTGGTTTCTTCACTCTCAATGCTGTGAAATGAAACTGGCTGTTCAATAGGTGGAAGATATCTTCTGGTTTGATGTAGAATACCTCTGAAGTATGTCTGCGAGGATTCAGAGGATCGCAGCAGTCCTCTTAAAATTATTTCAATTTTAGATACTGTTAGTACGTCACAGCCTTTATACTTTGTGCTTTTTTTGAAATGTAGAAATGCTTTTTAAACTTTCTATAAGTTATGCAGATGTGCACGAGAGGGTGAGGTCATAGGACTAGAAAAACGTGGACCATTTCCCCGAACGGAATGCTGATGGGATGCGAAGCAGCGGCGTTTCACATGGGTGGCATCATGGGTTGAACAGCGCTGATGCAGGTGTTGTGGTGAGCGCTGGAAGATTCGTTTGAAGAGATGGGGCAGGCGTTGGTTTTGCAGGTGACATGTACAGACATGTTTCAATGCATACATTAGGCGCGCATCAGGCCCATTGCGCATAAACCGGCAAGTCAGCGGTGTAGCGAGCGGTGGTCGCGGCAGGTGTTGTTGGGTGAATGAACGAAGCGGCAGCTGCGAGTGCGGGGCAGGCGAGGAAAAAAGTGACGTCAGCGCGCACCGCGAGGGGAGCATGGCATCAATGCGCAGAACCGGAGTGACCTACTTGGCACTGGGCCAACACCTGCAGCACGTTTGTTTGGAAGGACAGCATTACATGGGCTAATTAAAGAGCTGCTTCGCATCTAAAGGGTATCTTGGCTACTGCTATACTACTAGAAGCACAGATCAGTGCTTGAATATAGAATCAAGCGAACAAAAAGAAATGTCAAAAAATAGTGTGAGCCTGCCCCCCTTCCTCTCTGGTCCGTCTAAATCCGCCAATTACTTCAAGCGATATATAAAGTTTGTCTATCTGGGCCAATGCTTCGATATTAGAAATGTTTGAAAAAATGAATTGACAGATCAGGCAGCCGAAAAATCTGTTCATATATATAAAACAAACCAAAGTCAGGTGTATAATGAAGTCAAGGAAAGTACTCTTCGAGTTATTGGTGAATCGTCAAGGTTTTTCAAGATCACAGTGCAAATGCTGGGGATCACATCTGTTGTCATGGTAAACTGTGTGAATGGACAAATATCTAGCACTAGGCGAAAAAATTCCAAGTAAACGTTTGCTTGTCAGTATCGTACTGAACCATTAAATGTCTTCTTATTGGGGAAAAGTGGTACTTGCTTTGTGTAAATCCAACCAGGCATATTTTCGAAGAGACAAAAAAGGCAAAGACAAGGTATCTGGAAAGGTCACTGATCTATAAACAATCCATTGCTTGCCAGTCTCTCTTGTTCCAACTTCACTGCTGCAAGTATGCAGCATGCAAAGATAAGCAATGTGTAACTGAGTGTGTCTCCTCAAAAAGTGTGTGTTGATGGGAAACTAAACACTACACTTAGCCAATGAACATGTTGAATATTACTTCATGTCAGGCTCTTGTGAAGTGATTAGTTAAATGTTATGCAACTAATACAAATCCTTGCAGTTGTGTTTACTTTTATTCCATGCAATAGACAATGTCATAGTGCTTATGCTTATCCACTTTGCTATTCTTAAAGGGACACTAATGTCAACAATTGACATCACTGTGAAAGCTCAATGTATAGCAACATCTAAAACAACAATATTTTCAACAGCAGTGCTCTATTTATTGAGAAACCAAAGTAAATGCACGAGAACACATGTGCTATGATTGGTAACTCTCAAAATGATCCCGATGACATCAGAGGTATAGCCTACAATCAATCACTTAGTAACAGAACTGGATGCACTAAATGAAGAACCTTCCGCGCATCAAGAGAGGCAATAAAATGCTGCTCGTTCGTTTATGTTTGGTTCATGGAAAAAAGAACCGCCAGACGTTACTCTGGGTGAACGGCGCTAGTGATTCAAAAGTTCAATTTTCGCCTGGCTATATTGGACATGCCGTGCCAAATAGTGGAGCCCAGTTAAACCAGTAATGTCTGCCATCTCAAAGTGAATGGCAAAAAATTGTTGAATTGCCGTTGTTGCTGCTGTTGCTCCCACTACTTTCGTTCTTCTGCTGCCGGTATCAGCGGCCGCACAGTGAAGCCAGGCAACGTTCTGCACGGCAACAGTGACGTGAGACATTTCGCTTGGACAGGTAATTTGAAGTGCGCTAACCTGATGCGGACCACAATAACATGATTTTATTTCAAAATAAGCCCTTCGTTAGCACGAAAGTAACACAACAGGGTTTCTGAACCGCCATTTTAACTATCAACATTGACTTAATAGTTGCCTTTAGTGTCCCTTTAAGCTCTACTAGTATGAAAATATCGGACATGAATACCTGTCTGCCAGCAGCTGGGAGAAGGGTTGTGGCTTAGTGAAGTGAAGAAGCGAAAGAGACGGGGAAAGGGGGATTGTCGGAGTGCTCGGCTGTGTGATGCCGAGTGCAGGCATCACCTTCTGCTTTTTGCGCTACGCAGAGAGGACCGAAGGCCTTGAGTGTACACAAAGAGCAGGTTTCTCTGATGGCAGTTTAAATGCCTTCAGGTAGTATGCGAAAGGGTTTTGGCCAGTCTCCAGCTCATTATAAGATCACCTGCTATATTTGATGCCATCAGGCAAAAAAAAGGGTTCCACACTCGTCATGGCTGTGAGGGGCAAGGACTAACACTATCTGGCTCAAATGCATAAATATATCCGATAAAGTGGACGTGAGGAAGACCTTCATTGCTACTCAGTTGGTAGAGCAATTGGACGCTTTATTGAACGGTTGTCTGTTTAGTTCCTGTCAATGGCACATTGTCCTTTCATGCATTTTCTTTTTCTTTTTTTCAGTTGTACTATAATCTCCTATATTTTCCTTTGCTTCATTCTCTGTCCGCTCTAGATAATGTGTGTTTTTCGATGGGCTTTTCATAAAATTTTTTTTGTGTAGCCATTCTTTGTTAAAAGTCATACTATTCTTGAGTTAGGAAACCTGCTCAATATACTGGCAAAATCGAAAGCGCACTCGACAATCTCCTTGAGCAAACATTAGAAGAAACAGCTAGGCTCTTCCTTATGTTGTACACACAATTTTCACTTATGGCCACTATTTATGCCCGCCTTTCTTGTAGCACTTGTTCTCTCCTTCATTCAAACATGAAGTACTCTGTTCAGATAGAAACCTTCTGAGTTATCTTTTGTTGAAGAACAGTATGAGAACTTGGGAGGACACAGATACATTGTATGCATGATGCTTGTGTTTGGTGTTTTATTTTTCGTCTGCTACGAAAATTATGTCCCAGCTAGTAAAAGTTGCAGTTCTCATACATTCAAATCTTGATACAACGAACCATAATACAACGAAATATTAGTTATAACAAAAGTGAATGAAAAATAGCCTTGCAATAGGCATAGTGTTAGGATTATGCCCTTATAACGAATTTTCAGATATAACATACCTATTTTTGTGTAAGATGCAACTTTGTTACAATGAGGTTTGAGTGCGTGTAAAACTTCGCCTTAAGAACACAGCTAATGAATTTTATTATATGGTGTCTTGGTCTCTTTTACGGGTTACTGTGGACTACAGCAGTTTCATTTTTTTTTTTTCTGTCTTACTTCATTGCTCATGGCAGCTTTCACATGCCTCTTCTCAATGGGGTATTTGGTAAAGGGCAAAGAATAATTTTTGCTTGGCTTGTGCAGGGTCAATGTCTGTGTCAGCAACTCAAAGAAGTCGAAGGTAGAAGCTGTGAGAGCCAAGGCTAAGGTAGCGCCAGGGTCAAGACCAGCATTGCGTCCAAAGAATGTTGAACAAGACCTCATGGTTTCAAAGCTGTCAACAAAGCCACCCCAAAAGAAGCTTGCCAAGACTGTGAGCATTTTTTTTGCATTTTTAAAAATTTTTTTTTGCTTGGTTTGCAGTTTTTTCCTCAGTGTGACTGTACTAGTGCTCTTCTTTCACCTTGGCAATTCTTGGAAATTTCACCTGCTGTTCTTTCACTGTTTTGCCCAATAGCTGTGGATTTTTCTCTTCGAATATTCATTTCGCAACTTTTTATTTTCTGGCATCAAGTGCTAGTAATCACGATTTTAACATTGCGCTATAGTCTCGTCTTATAAGCTCGGTGCAGCTCTGCGAAGGCTACGAGGCTGCTTAGCCAATAGAAAGAGCGAAAATCACTCACGACGTATTTGCCCTCGTCGCGTCATCTGCTCAACGTCATAGCATCTGCGCTCACACTCTGGGTGAGTAAAACGAGTGCATGGCAACAGCTATTGCTCAAAGCATTGGGCAGCAGCGGCAGTGTCGAAGAAAAGACATGGTGGCACCTGTATAAGCCGGTTTCTTCTCTCTTCAATTTACAAAGTCGTCGTGCGCTGTGTGGCCCACGAAGTCTAAACTATTACTTCTGTTTGCATTAACAGCAATGTATTAGTGACTCTTTCGCACTCTTTCGAACATTTTTTAATTCTTGCAGGCAGTGCCCTGTGGGTGTGACTGAACAAACGGCTGATATCAAGAGTAAAGACAAAGTATGCCTGATACTTAGTCCTTGGCTTGAGATGGCACGATGCAATAGTCGACTCTGCCATTTATTTATTGCTTTCAGGATTGTCGGAAAGCAGCTAGGGCAAGTTTGAATGAAAGTGGGCAGTTGCGTCTGCATAGCGCATCGCCATGTTGGTTTGCCATTGCAATCGTCGTTGTCCTAACTTTGCCTATTATAGTGCATTTACAAGCAGAACTGTGTTTTGATGCGCAAGCGCGTGGCTCGCTCACACCTCACAGCTTGCACCCTGCTGCAACCAGCCTATGAGATAGGGTATATACAACAGCACTGTTTTGTTATTTCGCGCTTGTATCGCCACTTTTATCACAGAGTATGCAACAAAACCTCGGTCATGCTCCCGCCAACTAGTGGAAACTAGCTTTTTGATACTGCATTCTTGGCATCATCAGTCTTCGTGCTCACTTTCTTTTGACACGCTTCCTAATCTTACTTTTTCAGCCAGCGTTGAGGGATGTGTCAAAAAGGCTAACGGTCGCCATGTCTCCAGCCTTTGCACTCAAGTTGCGAAGCGAAACATGGAAAAAAAGAAAGGAAGCGGAGCAGAAAGCAAATGGACCTACTGGAAGCAGCGCAGTAAGCTCTACCTTAAAGATGTCTGTATAACAGCTTGTCCTGTACTTGTTTCATGAAAATGAAACCCATATGCAGAAAAGAAAGGCTGGCCACGATTGCTTTATCGGCACACTGAAAGGATGTTTTCTGCGAGCATGCTTGGCGTTGTGACTCCATACATGAACTAAATGACATTGTTTCTTTTCTTGACAGGTGAATGCATGTAAACTTCTTGGTTCTTTTGCTCCTTTTCTTCTCCAAGCTTTTTGACGTGCCTGTATTTTTTTTGCACTTTTCAGGCTATCAGCCTTTTGTTTTTTGTTCTTCTTTTTCATGCCACCTGTGTTTTGCCACTCATTAAAAAAATAATGATGCATGAAGTAACTGTATAACTATCCCAGTGCATTCTTATACAATGCGATTAGTGTGGAAGTTTGAAGAATATTGTGTCGACCAGGGTAATGAAGTCTACGAAAGGCACATTTTTCGACTCCAAACACAGGAAGAGGCCGAGCCTTTTGAGCGGTTCCTACAAGACTTGAAAAAGCAAGCAAAGCTGTGCAACTTCGATACAGTTGAAGAGTCCATGATCAGGGATCAAGTGGTGTTTGGGACAAATAATGCGAAACTTCGAGAAAAGTTACTGAGTGACAAAAACTTAAACTTGCAGAAAGCAGAAGAAATTTGCAAAGCCGCTGAGCTTGCTGCCATTCAGAGCGCAGCATGGTCAAATGAAAGCCTGCACGTTCACTTTGCATGCCGCACACACCGCACGAAGTTTGCGAATGGAACTCGGTGTCGAAATCGTAACAAGGTACGTGCCCCCGAGCGGTGCCCGGCGTATGGAAAAACTTGTTATGCATGCAAGAAACGAAATCACTTCGCCGCATGCTGCAACAATGCGCACAGGATAAGCGAGGTTCACAAAGCCGAAAAAAGCGATGAAAATTTTGACATCTTGAGCATCAGCATTTGCGGCGTCACCGGAGACATAGGAGCGGATTGGATGGTTCGCGGAAAAATAGCTGGTCAGGAGATACGATTCAAGGTAGATACCGGGTCTCAGGTGAATTTGCTGCCCCTAACCCTGTTCAACCGAATCGCCCACGCAAGCACTCCGCGAAAGAGTGCCGCTGTCCTTACCGCATACAACGGCAGTGCAATCAAACACGTTGGCGTGGCGACCGAAGATCTCGAGATAAGCGAAGCACAGCATTTAGTCTCGTTCTTTATCGTGAAAAAGGGGCGCCAAGCCATCCTTGGCTTAAAGACATGCCAGCAGTTTGTACTGGTACCGGTGACGCCGGACGCCGTGAATGTAGGCAATGAGCAAACGAAATTTCAGCTTGCATTTCCTGACCTCTTCAGCAGCACCGGCTGCGTCAAGCGACCCTACAAAATGGTGCTACGAGAGGATGCCGTTCCAGTCGTGCAGCCTGCCCGCAGAGTACCCATAGCGTTGAAAGGACGCCTGTGACAAGAACTGCAACGAATGGAAAAGGCCTCAAACATCGTCAAGGTGGATGAACCAACTGACTGGGTGAGCCCCCTGGTAGTTGTGCACAAGAAGGATGGTACCCTTCGCATTTGCATGGACCCTAGAGCAGTGAACAGGAGCATTAAGCGGGAGCACTATCCTATGCCTTCATGAGAGGACATAGAGAGCGAGCTGGCAGGAGCACAATACTTCTCCCGGCTCGACGCTAATGCCGGCTTTCATCAGATTCCTTTAGATAAGGCCACTTCACGAATATGCACTTTTGCGACACGATTTGGGCGGTACCGTTTTTTGCGTCTGCCTTTTGGACTTTCCTCAGCCAGCGAGGTGTTCCAGAAGACTCTAACAGAGATGTTCGAAGGGCTGCCGGGAGTGCGCGTCTACGTAGACGACGTTTTAATATGGGGCGGCTCAAAGGAAGAACACGACGAACGCGTCATTGCAGTGCTTAGGCGGGCGCAAGAGGAAGGGCTGACATTTAATCCAGCTAAATGCGTGTTCTGCACCACGCAGGTTGCATTCCTTGGCGATGGTATCAGAAGAGACTGAATTCGTCCTAGTCCCGATTTAATCGAAAGTATCCGTGCCATGCCAGCCCCAAAAGATAAACAGGGTGTGCGCAGATTACTCGGGGTTGTGAACTACTTTCGGAAGTACCTGCCAGCTTCGAACGACAAAACAGCGTTGCTGCATAGCCTGGTGAAAGAAGCATCGGTGTTTGAGTGGACAACAGCCCATGAGCGGGAATGGGACCAGATCTGCGCAGCGCTCGCTAATCCTCCGTTGCTGGCTCTTTTTGATGAAAAAAGAAACACTAAGATAACTGCGGACGCCTCAGGAACAGGTATCGGCGCTGCCTTATTGCAAAGACATGGGGATGACTGGCGCCCAGTGACCTACGCATCAAGAGCACTGACACCGAGTGAAGAGCGATACGCCCAGATAGAAAAGGAAACACTGGCAATTGTTTTCACTTGTGAAAAATTTCATCAGTTCGTGTATGGACGAAGCATTACGATAGAAACTGATCACAGGCCATTACTTGCGATTGCTGAAAAGAACATTGCAGATATGCCACCCAGGCTACAGCGGTTTTTCATCCGTCTTATGAAATATCATTTTTTGTTGCAGTTTGTACCTGGTAGGGACCTGTTACTCGCAGACCTGCTGTCTCGTGCCGCACTACCAACTGGCGGAGGCGACCAAGTCGAGGACGTGGACGTCCACACAACGCAAGTAGTCACCAGCATCATAAGCAAAGCGACTATGTTGCAGCTGCAGAAGGAAACCCTCGAAGATCCTCTTCTCAGCCGCACCATGAAACAAATGGAAGATGGCATGGCAATAGACGGCGTACTGAAACCGTATGCGGAAGAGCTATCCGTGGTCAATGGAGTGGTGCTATAGGGTTGCAAAGTTGTGGTGCCTAAATCAGTGTGTGCGGAAATTCTTGAGCAAATTCACGAAGGCCACTTGGGTATGAACAAGTGCAAAGCTAGAGCCCGTAGACTGGTTTTCTGGTCGGGAATGAGCAGTGACACTGAGCAACGAGCACGAACGTGCAGCGTATGTTGAAAGTACGCATACAGTCAACCGAGTGAACCCCTTTTGCTACTGCCAATGCCCGACCGACCGTGGCATCGCGTAGGCATAGACCTATTTACATTCGCTGGAGAACACTACGTAGTTGTGTTTGATGCCCATTCTAACTTTCCTGACGTCGAGAAACTCAGAGGTACCACGGGGGCGGAAGTAATCGACAAGATATCTGCTATCTTCTCGCGATACGGCATTCCCAACCAAGTTTGCACCGACAACGGGCCTCAATTTGCATCGCGAGAGTTCGCGTCCTTCGTGCGCCGATATGACTTCGAGCATATCACCTCAAGTCCAGAGTTCGCACGGTCAAATGGCTTAGCTGAAAAGGGGGTACAGATCGTGAAGCGTATTCTAAAGAAAACCCACGAGTCTCGGGGTGATGTATGGCTTGGTCTGTTGGCTTATCGATGTTCTCCCCTTGACAGCGGTCACTCACCCGGAAAATTACTGCAAGGTCACCGCCTGCACGCCACTCTTCCAGAATACAACATCAACGGAGGCATACCCGTATGGAAACAGCGACAGTCTTCCCGAGGCAGGCCACTACCACCCTTGGAAGCCGGAAATATGGTCCGGATCAAACATGGAAGCTGGTCATGCCGAGCAAAAGTGGTACAAGAGACTGCACCACAATCATACGTGGTAAGAACGGAAGACCATGGGCTCCTGAGACGGAACCGACAGCACTTGCGGCGAACGGATGAAAACTTTGACACTGAGGTCAGCCCTGAGGGTAATCCGAACCCCGACGCGAGGCCCCCGACGAAGTTCAGTGATAGACACCGAGGCAACACCACGCCGGACAACCCACTGGGAAGTCACCAGGTGCAACCAGCTCAGCCAGAGGAAGATTATAACGCCACCATTTCTTCAGACACTCCAGGAAGCCCACTGGCTGGCCTGCGCAGGTCAGGACGCCAGCGCAGCGAACCGAAGCGCCTTCACTACGGGCCATCCTTCCATCAAGTAAATGAGTGCAAAAGAAATCAGTGTTTTGAAAATGTGTGAAGAGAAGATGTAATAGACCGGACTATCTGCTATCAGCATTCGCCCTAGGCGATATTGTCTCCTCCTCCTCTCCACCGTTTCGTACGCTTTACTTTCCTTCTTTTGCTTTCTTTCCCCCTTCCTCGCTGTGAGCGCGGCTACTTAAGCCCAGCAAATAAACGGCCAGGGGTCATTCGTCATGGCAAGGCCCAGCCAAGTGTTCGTCGTCTTGTCTCTGAGCTAATTGTTACAGCACCTGTATAAGCCGGCTTCTCTCTTCAATTTACAATGTCGTCGTGCGTTGTTTGGCCCACTAAGTCTAAACTATTACTTCTGTTCGCATTAACAGCAATGTGTTATTGACTGTTTCGCACGCTTTCGAACATTTTTAATTCTTGCCAGCAGTGCCCTGTGGGTGTGGCTGAACAAACGGCTGATATCAAGAGCAAAGACAAAGTATGCCTGATACTTAGTCCTTGGCTTGAGATGGCACGATGCAATAGTCGACTCTACCATTTATTTATTGCTTTCAGAATTGTCGAAAAGTAGCTAGGGCAAGTTCGAATGAAAGTGGGCAGTTGCGTCTGCATAGCGTCGCCATGTTGGTTTGCCATTGCAATCGTCGTTGTCCTTACTTTGCCTATTATAGTGCATTTACAAGCAGAACTGTGTTTTGATGTGCAAGCGCGTGGCTCGCTCACATCTCACAGCTTGCACCCTGCTGCAACCAGCCTATAAGATAGGGTATATACAACAGCACTGTTTTGTTATTTCGCGCTTGTATCGCCACTTCAATCACAGAGTATGCAACAAAACCTCGGTCATGCTCCCGCCAACTAGTGGAAACTAGCTTTTTGATACTGCATTCTTGACATCATAAATCTTCGTGCTCATTTTCTTTTGACATGCTTCCTAATCTTACTTTTTCAGCCAGCGTTGAGGGATGTGTCAAAAAGGCTAACGGTCGCCATGTCTCCAGCCTTTGCACTCAAGTTGCGAAGCGAAACATGGAAAAAAAGAAAGGAAGCGGAGCAGAAAGCAAATGGACCTACTGGAAGCAGCGCAGTAAGCTCTACCTTAAAGATGTCTGTATAACAGCTTGTCCCGTACTTGTTTCATGAAAATGAAACCCATATACAGAAAGAAAAGGCTGGCCACGATTGCTTTATCGGCACACTGAAAGAATGTTTTCTGCGAGCATGCTTGGTGTTGTGACTCCATACATCAACTAAATCACTTCTTGGTTCTTTTGCTCCTTTTCTTCTCCAAGCTTTTTGACGTGCCTGTACTTTTTTCGCCCTTTTCAGGCTATCAGCCTTTTGTTTTTTGTTCTCCTTTTTCATGCCACCTGTGTTTTGCCACTCACTAAAAAATTAATGATGCATGAAGTAACTGTATAACTATCCCAGTGCATTATTATACAATGCGAAATTCTTTTGCATGTCACTGGTGTAACCCTATGTGGGAATAAACCCTTTTTCTTGAAGAGAATGAAGATGCTACATTTGCGTACACCTTCTTCTATGCATAAACATTAAGAGCCTTATTATAAGCAACAAGTACAGGAAAAGCATGTCTGAATTTCATTTCTGATAAGAAGCCTCCACAATTTAGAAAAAGAAAAGCAAAGGACAAATACTGTTGAAACTTAACAAAACCCGAGTTTATAGAGTTCCCAATCTGATGGAAAAAAAAATCTTCCTTTCTACATTCCCTAGCACGTATTAATTTGGTTCAGTGCTGTCGTTAAACCAAATTATCTATATTAACTTGGCACCGAACCCGATTTAACAAATGTTTTCTCGAAATGAATGGGTAAAAAAAGTGATTTCCTTCTATTTGGGGTACAGGCGCATGTTTTTATCTAGTATTTAGACTAACGCTATTGCCTTAAACATCTAAATGTAGGCACGTGTGCTCAGATTTCGGTGCACGTTAAAGAACCCCAGGTGGTCGAAATTTCCCGAGCCCTCCACTACGGCGTCTCTCATAATCATATGGTGGTTTTGAAACGTTAAACCCCAGCTATCAATCAATGCCTTAAACATCTGGCCATTTTATTTACGACCCTGGCTTCATTTTGATGAGGCTCTACAACATGTGTATGCATATATAGAGGGCTCAATTGGTGCTAGTGCGTTCATTTACCACATGGGATTAGGGTTGGCAGTGGTTTTGTTCTTTTTCAAAAACATGGTGGTGATTGCTTTTGACATTTCCCAGTTTATGCTGCCAATATCACTGATCATTTACTCACGACTTTCTTGCTCGGCCTGCTTGCGCTGTGACTGCGTTCGTTTTCCCTGTTTTCGCATATCAGCAGCTCGTAACAGCTTCACGTCATGCCATCTCTCTTCCCTGGATTTTACACGTGGGCAGGCGGGGGTTAGCGGGAAGTACAATGTGGTAGGTTTTGCGTGTTGCTATGCTATAATTTAGACTTGGGATGACAGAAAATTTTTTATTGATCTTTGGGACTCCCGTGTTCAACAAAATATGTGTATTTTGAGTGTAGTGATGGCATTGGTAAATTGAGTTTCAACTGTACAAGATTTTAAAAACAAATTAAAACAAATTGCGGCAGTTTTACCCAGTGTGAAATCTTCAGAAACAGCAGAGCTGTGGATCTCCTGCGGCTCTCCTGTGTTTTCCTTGTGATTTTCAGTGGCGTTTTGTGTCCTTTCTTAGGTGTCTGTAGTTATCTCATTTGCTGAGTAGAGATGCATGGGGAAAGATCTGTGGCAGCCGCTGTCGCACCAACCTCCGCTACAGTGACTTTAAGTCCTATTTATAGTCAAGCTACCCCTTCTTGCTTCACTGTGTGGCAGCCATTTCGTTTCGCACCAAGGCAGTTATGCCATCTCTTGCACTATCTGGGAACCGGTTGTCGCGGTGCTACTTTAGGCCCTATTTACGCTCGAGCTACCCTGAGCCGTTTCACTGTCAGCTACCACTTCGTCTGTGACTGAGGCAGTTATGCTGCTTTTAAGAGTGTCTGATAACCGAACGTGATACACGGTGCCACCTGCCATCTGCAGCATAACACTTATGTACTCCATTTGTACTCGTGTCATAAGGGTTATGATTGTGGAACATTCCCCGTAGTAAAAGAAATCATGGATCACATGGCTTGCAGTAGTTTTCTAGATCATGTGTCATCGAACAGTGGACACAATGAGTTGCCCTACATGCAAGCAAGTTTTTTTTTTCTTTTTGTCCACGTGATGATTGCTTTCCTCTTGCATTCTTTTTATTTTGCATCATTGGCTCATAAGAGAGAGAGAGAGAAAAGAGAAAAAGAAAGGCAGGTAGATTAACCAGATGCTAGGATTTGGTATGTTCATAGGTATTCATGTTGCAGTGATAACCCTGGTCAACCATACATACTGAATAATGATAAGCAAGAGTAACGCAATGGATTTTAAAGAGTATAGTCCCTCATCTTGCATTTTCAATAATTATTTGGCTTATGGGCATTGTTTTTTTATGCAATGGTAGTGTACTAAAACCTCTAATATTGTGTCTGAATAACATCTGTGAGGCAGTTATTTTGATAGTAAAGATTGTAGTAAAAGTTAAGTATTGACAGCTGAATTAGCAAAAGCAGTCCACGCAGCGAACCAAGATGTGCTGTGACGAGATGCAGTTTCTCGGTTGTGTGCTCAATTTTTTTTTTTTAATTTCAGCGTTGAGCCTTATTGAAAAAGCGACCAGAGTTGTTACTAAAATAACCTGAAATGGGATTAACCGCACTGTATACCCTTGTTACACGGTCACAAACTAGGGTTGCCTCCTTTTCCAGAAAAAAAAAAAAAAAAAACGACCGTCAGCGGGTGGTCACGAAGTTGAGGTTGTGTGGAAAATAAACAAAGTCCATGTGAAATCTTCGACATGTGATGACATATATTGTACCCGTCTTCAACATCAACACAATATGTCCACGTACATACAAACATAGAACTGAGCGAATCAATTAGTCTCTGGTGGCAAGCGCACAAATATCATGAGTCTTACAATGATTGCACTCAAAACGAGCGTAAAATAATTATGTTTGCTGAACAAAATATTTGCCGCCGAGGTTTTCAGCCAAACTATAAAAGTGGGTGCTGAAATCCATAGACACAACCTTAATTTCAGACAGAAACTTGCAGAATATAATAAACTTAATGCGTTTTTCACAAACCGCCACGCCTTGAACTAGCAAGCTTTCAACTTCCCTCAACTGGCCTTCCAAACGTGCCCAACAATGGGCTTTGTGTGTTGCTATGCTATAATTTAGACTTGGGATGACAGAAAAATGTTTTATTGATCTTTGGGACTCCCGTGTTCAACAAAATATGTGTATTTTGAGTGTAGTGATGGCATTGGTAAATTGAGTTTCAACTGTACAAGATTTTAAAAACAAACCAAAACAAATTGCGGTTGTTTTACCCAGTGTGAAATCTTCAGTAATAGCAGAGCTGTGGATCTCCTGTGGGTCTCCTGGGTTTCCTTTGTGATTTTCAGTGGCGTTTTGTGTCTTTTTTTAGGTGTCTGTAGTTATCTCATTTGCTGAGTAGAGGTGCATGGGGAAAGATCTGTGGCAGCCGCTGTCGCACCAACCTCTGCTACAGTGACTTTAGGCCCTATTTATAGTCAAGCTACCCCTTCTTGCTTCACTGTGTGGCAGCAATTTCGTTTGGCACCAAGGCAGTTATGCCATCTCTTGCACTATCTGGGAACCGGTTGTTGAGGTGCGACTTTAGGACCTATTTACGCTCGAGCTACCCTGAGTTGTTTCACTGTCAGCCACCACTTCGTCTGTGACTGAGGCAGTTATGCTGCTTTTGAAAGTGTCTGATAACCGAACGTGATACACGTTGCCACCTGCCATCTCCAGCATAACACTTATGTACTCCATTTGTACTCGTGTCATAAGGGTTATGATTGTGGAACATTCCACGTAGTAAAAGAAATCATGGATCACATGGTTTGCAGTAGTTTTATAGATCATGTGTCATCGAACAATGGTCACAATGAGTTGCCCTACATGCAAGCAAGTTTTTTTTTTTCTTTTTGTCCACGTGATGATTGCTTTCCTCTTGCATTCTTTTTATTTTGCATCATTGGCTCATAAGAGAGAGAGAGAGAGAAAGAGAGAAAAAGAAAGGCAGGTAGATTAACCAGATGCTAGGATTTGGTATGTTCATAGGAATTCATGTTGCAGTGATAACCCTGGTCAACCATACATACTGATTAATGATAAACAAGAGTAATGCAATGTATTTTAAAGAATATAGTCCCTCATCTTGCATTTTCAAACGGCCCTGCCTGGAACAGACGTGCCAACAATGCCATTCCGTCGCCCGAGTCTCTCAACCTGCTCAGCCCCCACTACGATTCCTAAAAGCACTACGAGTGGCACCTGCAGTTCCCAAGTGGGATAAAGCCCCTAAATAAGGCGTAACATCTCAGCGTCTTTGTGGAAGAGGGAGAGTGGCATGTAAAGGAGAGGTAGAGAAAGGGAGGTAATGGACACGAACACGTGCACCTTTCAGCCGCGGTGCTCGCGCTGGCATACAGCCGCCGCACTCAAACAAAAGTATGGCCAACTGTTCAAAAAAGTGTGTAATAAAGTCTGTTTATCGGAATAGTTGTGTCTTCCAAGTAGAATTTCGATGTTTTCATTATTTTTTCTGAGCTGTTCAGTGCTCCTTTAAAAAGTATGCAATGCATGTATACCTACACGTGGAATAATGTGCAGTACACTCACAACGCATAAACAGAAATAGAGAAATCCTATGTGCTCGCCTTCTTCTATTCGTGGAACTTGAATATGTACTTAGAATTCGACTTAGCGGCTCGGAGGAGCTTCTTGTTTTCTCTCGCTATCTTTATGAATTCTTCACAGCTGTACACTAAATTATACCACACGCAAAGTTATGCTTTAAGGGGGGGCGCGGCAAGTAAAGTGCCGATTTTGGTCAAAATATGCGATTTTCTGATTTATTTTTTTTCGTAATCTTCAGACCTTCAACTTCCTTGTTCTAAATATTACAGCGAAACGTGCGCTACAAATCCCGCAA